TTTACAGCAGAGCAACTAGGAACTACACGACGAGAAAATGCTGCGCTCGAGGTATTAAAATTAGCAACAATCAAAATTTAAAAATCGATTTAAATTTCATTCCCTAATTCCCTGTATTTATTTAAATCTTAGCTGAAGGTCCAAACTTTGCAAAATAACTTAGAAGAACAAAAAATGAAGCTGGATAGCAGGTAATAATCACACAGATTCTCGTTGATACATAAAAGAGAAGTTAAACTAATCCCATATCTAATATATTATCGTGACTAGTCAAAGACAATTGCTCTCAATAAGACTTGAGCGGGCAAACGTAGCAGGTACTTCAGTCACAATTTGTGCATCGTAATACTACACTATGTTACTGATAAATAACTACTGTATCTTTTCCTGCAGACACTGTTGGGTTTAATGATAATATGTTTAACGATAAAGGTAATCCTTACCCTTCATGTAGCACATTAAATAAAATATTTATGCTCACTTGTATTAAGCGAAAAATAGTAGATTTTTACTGTAGTGTTCTTGCATTTTAGGAAATAAGGAGTTCATAGCGCTCGACGTACCAACGCACGATCATAGCGATGGAGTAAGATTATATCACACACATTAGCAATTTTATTAAAGAAGTTGTTAACTTTCAATAATTATAATTAAATGAGATAGTGAGTATGCGATAAGCTCTATATAACGATATAATTAATGATCTTTCCTTAAAGCTAAAAGCTAAAGCTCTTCTTGGTGAAGCAAATACCTTAGTTGGAGACTTTTTCAAGACTTTAAGCTCTTGGCTAACATATATGCTCCAGGTAGCGTTGCAACTATTATTTGCGTAATAACTACATCTCATTCTGTATTACTAATCATTTGATAATACTGACGCAATTTTTGAATTAACAAAATACTATGCAGCATTGTACAGCCATATCTGAAAATTTCGCCGTAAACTCTATAATCTCTGCTATTCATAATAAGGTTGCCACACATGAATTTGGTTGATTATACTGTTTGTATATCTTGCAACTATCATTCTTAAAAATCTTATGCTCGAAATATATTAAAAAAATCATAGATGAAATCGCAACTACAAGAGAATAGCTCATATTTAAATCCATGTGAACAAGCTTTTGCGATTATGTATCAAAAGATTGGAGACAACCCACAAGTTACACTAGTTAGAACTATTCTATGATATTCAACTCCTTTAACTCGTTATGAAGTATTCCACGGATCTAACTATCCTTTTTAAATAACTAGGAAGGCGTCCTCGGCTTACGCGAAGTAAGTCAAGCATTTCACAGCTTTGTTACCTATCTCAGTAGATTACTACCATATCAAAAGCTATGGTAAGATAAATTCTACTAGATAATTTTCTCCTAATTTCATAAGAATTACTCGGTTGGATGTCTATAATAATACGAATTTATATTCGTATTAAATTCCACTCTATCTTAAAAATGACCTTTAGCTCAAATGCTGTGAATGAACATTTTTCCAATCCAAGCTCTCTTCAACGGAAAAACAAAGAATTCCTTGATGCGTTTCACTATTTTAGCGTCGCCTTTATAAAATTGGATAACTATGTACAGATATTAGGCAACATCAGTAAGAAATACTGTTTATACTCGTGATATCGTTCGAAATTATGGATACGAAGGCTAACAAAACTACTAAACTTTACAATTTAAAGGTTATAGGACACATGATTACCCTCTTTCAAGTCAAGAAGCTGTGCTAAAACATATCGTTACTTCATTAAATAGCATACAGAAATGTGCTAAAGGTAAATTTGTAAAGTTTTCGTTTACGTTAAATTACGTAAGGATTGTAACCGTTATTATGTGATGTAGACATGATGGGAAGGTACAAGTCGAAAACTGTTGAAGAGCAAATGCTAACTTGGATGTCGGAGGTTTGATAACATTAAAAATAAATAATGTTAACTATTTTATGAACTGTCTATTATACCTGTAAGTTTCCTCTCCATTCTTAAATAATCTCTCCTTTAGGGTCTTAAAGTAACTAATGACTGCATAGTGTCATCTGTTGATGCTTTTATATCTACCGCAGACAAGGTAAATCAATATTTATTGCTTGATCGCTGTTGCAATTTATGGCTCCTATTTTATGAAAGACTAGCAACTTAATTTAAACTTTGGAACTAATGTGAAGTACTGGCTTTTGCGTTAAATATACTTCCAGCTTTCTAGATTTATAGGAAATAATTTAACATTCTTCATATCGCGTCTTCGAAATAGCGATAGTAAGGTAAGATCAAATAGGATTCATTTCTAATCGTAGTAAATCACTTGCTAACTAAAAGTCTCTATGCATTTCAGTTGGGGGTAGCTTCCGACACCGTTTCATCTTTTAGAAGACGAGCAGTCAACTATATGACGACGTTAGCAAAGGTCTCACTAAGTATCAACAAGCGATTCTGAGACTGTATAACCATTTAAGAATTTAGCAATTCATTGATTAATAGTAATTTTAATCAACATATTTTAAAATTTTTAAATAGCCGCTCCCTGAATCAATACCGTACGCAGTAGCAATAGAAAACTACAAAAAGGTTCAGAGTTCGACCGAGAATACTGAGACCCTCAGTCAACAGGTATTTCATTCGAAAATTACAATCTGTATTGCTTATTTTAATGATTTAATTTGTGGTAATTGTAAAATTATAAGTCGATAAACTATGCTTTCTATTATCTTTAAAATGTTTAGGTTGCTGGTAAAAGGGAGCGTATCACTCAGTTAGAGAAAGTAAGGAAATATGGCTGCAATTAGTTTAATTCGTTAATAAGAAAATAAGAAATTAAAAATATAAACAATACTTAGGAAAAAGAACATTGGATGTTAGAATACCAATTAAGTAAAGTTAAATTTGAAAAAATGCAACAGGTAATAAGTTACCTAGAAAACTTACGCGATAACTATAAAGATGAAAATAATTCATATAAATTATGAACAATAAATACTTATCAAAATGTTTTTTCCGTAATTTTATTTACCAGAAACTGGCACATCTACAGCAAGAAAATACTACTTTAAGACAAAATCCTCAAAATTCTGATAGCGTGATCGAGAATGGAATCGATAAGGTATACCGTGGTATTCGTGGAATCTATACTTAACTACAAATTGCCTTTTTCATCATTTTCACGCGACCGGTTCATAAAATAACGCATGCAAAATGATTTTTCTTTTATTAGCCTTCCACAGACACTGCATTAATTCAAGGCTTAGCTGTTCCTACGATGGCAATGCCAAGTCAACATTTAATTGATGTTACACAACCTTCCACAAATGTTAGTAATCAAGTTGTAATTTTATTATAGCCTGAATTCATTTTGTATGTTATCATTAAGCCACTTCATGTTTATAATTATCCGAATGTACTATATCCCGCTTTAGTTAGGAACTGTAAATGATGTTACCGATTTCTTAAGCGATGAAGGAGTAAGTTACTAACAATATTACTAGGTCTGAAGTTCAGAAACTATTTCAAGGTCTCTTATATTCTTGATCTCCTTTGATAGAATGAAGATATTGAAAGCAACCGAGAAAATTTGATCAAGAATTATTACTCTGCGAGAATAATGGAACTTAATGCTAAGGTATATGCTTAAAGCACTTATTATTCAGCAAGAATTATGAAATGTTAATGTAAGCATATTTAATTATTGACTAATCAACTGCATCGTGACTATCCTATGCTAAATATTTAACTGAAACGCTACCAGCTTCAAGCGATTGATAGTAAAGCAACGTCTTTTTTCTCCGAGGTAAAAACTTACTAGATATAAAAAACCGTCTCCAAGTATCTCTTTATAAGGAAAACACTGCTTATGCCTTAAATTTTTTTTCATTAAAAATTATTACGATATTAGAGTCGAGTACTAGAAAAACGTCTTGAACTATCCGAGAAATTTAAACAAAAATTAAACCTAGACCTAGAAAACGCACAGACTATTATCTCGTCATTAAAGGTAAGAATAAATAAAATAATCATATCCACGACGACATTTAAGCTAAGACGTCGTGGGTACCAGCTACTTTATAAAAATCATGTCGCTATACCTCATCACTTCACTGATTTTGTGTAACATCTGTCCTTAAATTTCGTGTTAGGATGAACTACAAACAACAACTCGTAGCTACGATAGCCAATTAAGCATGATGAGCGAGCACCTTTGCAATATGAATGATAAACTGACTAAAAAACAAGAGGAAATCGAAGCCTTAAAAAATCTAAAGGTTCACCAATTTTCAAACTTCTATGCACTATTGTCGTGATTATCAGAAGTTACATAAATTCTGCCTGATCGTTATCTGAGTACTTGTTAACACGAATTTCAATTTCTCTTTGTCTCTAATACTACTTTCATTTATTGTTTAGGGAGGATCACGAAGAAGATAATACGATCTATATTTCTGAGCAAGTCATTTTAATTACTGCCACCCACAAACAATGCTATCTTTCACTAACAAGACATCAGCAATACTTTTCCTCAACGGCAGCTGTAGATTGATCAATTATTAAATCATCATAAATCTCGATTTAATTCGGATAAAATAGCATGTTATCTCATATTCAGAATTATAGTATATATGACCAAGACGGGAAAAATAGGTTTATATTTTCAATTCCACACGTTACGAAATCTCTTTCTTATGTGTGAATTTACGAGTTACTATTACACAGTTTTTGATAGACCGTTAAACCTTTCTAGATCAAGTATATGTTCTTTACTTTTTATTTCCATACTACGCAGAAAATACTGTCGTTCGTTAAGAAGTTGAGACATCTATATTTACTCAGTAATGACATAATTACAGATTGAATCATTGAGAGCGGATAAAAATAAAATCGTTTTTCATTTTTTAATATCTCAAACAATCTACTTACATACAGTAACAGATGACAGTATAACTGACAGGAGATTTACAATTTGACACAGAAATAAGTTAAATTAATAGTTGTTTATACTAGTTTTTAATCATGTCAATCCGAAGCCTTTACCGTTTTCGATTGCTAATAGCAGTAACTTTTCTAATTTATTTTTATTCTTATAATCTGGCAGTAATAGTCTGTTAAAGCAGGTCATAGCGGTAGGTAGTCTAAAAGAACGGACAGAAGTTCATGTTAGTAATTGGTACCAATCCCAAATTTAAAAGTATATATTATAAGATAAAATAATTTAAGCTAAATTGTATGCAGACGAGAAAATTGTAATAGCTATAGTACCGATTTGAGTCACCGCCATTTCGCTGAATAATAATTTTAAGATTTCCCAGGCCTTTAAGAGGAGCCTAAAAATTTCGAAATTGTTTTCACAATAACCAAAATATCTTACTATACTGAAGTTAGGACACCGATAATGGTCGTACCCTATCGCTGCCAGTTACAAACATCAGTAACAATTTCTTATGCTTCTCATTCATGGCGTGAACTAATTCCCAAAAATGCACTATTATTACACTTGTGCTGGTGATGATAAGGATATACATAAAATTAGATAAGGAGCAATGAAATAACGAATCATTGCTAATTTCGCAATATTAAGAGTACGTAAGTAACATCAGGCGCGAACGTAGAATGTCATACATGTTGTAAAATAGTCGTTACATTTTACAATAGAAGAACACAATGGTAACTACTTTTAGATTACGAATACTGCAGTAAAATTAAAATTCACCATGTATAACCATCGTAATTTGCAGTGCGTTCAAGACTGTCAAAATCCTGGAGTATAAAGAAGTCACATTGAATATTTTAGTATCTTTAAGTAACAATTTCTTTAATCATCCTAAATATATTATAACAATGTTTGATATCTAACAAACCAATTCGTTACTTCCACAAATAACTAGATCTAATTCTTCAGCCCGAAATAGAGTAAGCGTATCTCCCCCACAAACTTTGTGAAATCCACGAGAGAATGGCTGAAGAATAGCACAAATATGAGAGCAGCACGATTTTTGCTGTATTGCTATCAATCGGAAATCCAAATAACTTACCTGAAACTGTTTTTCAATGCTATTTACTAACAAATGTTGAATATATAAATTAACGAACTCCTCTCGATTCTATCAGTGAAAAAAGCGTGACATTAATGGTAATCAGTAACATAATTTATTTTGCTACCGTCTGTTTTGTCTAAGCGTAACATGTTGATGTAATCCAGACTTAGTCTAAAAATGACATTACCTCATTAGTTACCGGTATCAGAGATCCACGTGGCTTTAATTCAACATCTACCATACGTCCAAGAGACATATAAGATATCTGCACGATAAATTCAATAGAAAAGCTAATTTAGCAACTTCTCTCAGTCACCTGAAATCTAGACCTTAATCACTAAATATCCACCTCAAAAGTAAAGCAAAAAATATCTTCTACATCCCCGTCATATTCCAGTAATTCTTGAAGACTGGCACCAAGTGTTGGCTAATGTATACCAACATAGTAACATAAAAATTTATTTCAAAAATCACAGACTATAAAATTTTACATTTTATCAACATACTTGCACATCAATAAGATCCTTTAAATGTAATTGTTCCCCTTGTAATTTCTTGTATATAGATTGAGGAAAATGAATATCCAAGATGACACCATTATAGATTGCTAGCCCTATGTTATAATTAGAATGTTTCATGCGGCATAAGTTAATAACTAACGATTTACTATTTGTATTGATAGAGACAATATTCTAGATAAGATCACAAATTTCCCAAATCCTAGAAAGTAGAATTCTGTTACCTAAAATTATCCCGACCAGTTCAAACTCCCTTTCGGATTCTAACGAGGCGCCTAACATCGTTGCAATGATAATTATGAGAATTATTCGTAGTAGCTATTTGAATTAGCTACATAACTTACTGTCTATCCAAAATTTTCTCGACTCTTCAATATATGTAAACATGCCATAGCTGGGGTCAAAAATACAGTCTACAATTAAATGAAAAAATTCCTTTTGCAATCCTCCCATATCTAATCCCTAGGCCAAAATCAGATTTAGGAAATTATTATGTTGGTAAAGAGATAGTATTAAGTCAGTACTTCTTAAGTATAAGTTATTAATGTACTTGCTCTCCTCCACCAACGTATTTTATCTTGAGTGGCTTTTTTAAATCACTTTCCTTCGATCGAATTTGTTGCATTGTATCCTAACAATCAAGTTATTATCTCAGAAATGGAGAATCAATAAATGACTCAATCTATTATCGCACCTCTATTAAATAGTCACGCCTGACTTCTAGGACCAGAAAAGGGCACATTATAGAATGTAGTGAATCTTCAACAACTCTTTCCCTATGCAGTCACAATATGATATGTTTAAAACTTAAATTACAAGAAATTGATACTTTCTATATTCTAAGTGAAATGTCAAATTTATCAGAGCACTATTTTATTAAAATAGCAAGCATTCGAACCCTCTAACCTCTCGCTCCCTTGTAGAATCATTTGTGCTTGATGAATTTCCTATACATTAATAAAATTCAGAAAAATTTACCTCAATATCAAACTTAGCTATATTACATATAAAAGTAGTATATCAAATTACAGCTTGATAAATGAAAGCATCCTGATATTCCTCTTTCATCTGTAGCATGGCATCTAAATGTAGTATATTTACTTTCGCCTAAATATTTCGAGATGAATAAATCTTCAGGGATACAAATTTCTAATTTTATTAAGTATTTAGAAATAAAATTCGAAAAGTAAATTCTAAATAAGTAAAATATATGCTACTTACAGCTGGGTTGAAAAGGAAAGGATAATCAAATAAGCATTTAGTAGCTTTTGGTGAAGCTATCAGACTATTCCTGCATTAGCGTGTAAAAAAACATTATGTATACAACTCCTCTACAGCATCACCGTAATATTGTTACGTACTGTCCACTTCCTCTTGAAGTTATCCAATGATGATGCTCTTCTTTAAAATCGATTTTACTATTCAACGTTCATCCATACAAACATCCATAACACATGATAAAAATTAAAATTCTCACTCTTTAGCTTCTACAATATAACTAATGTATTTATACATTTGTTAACATACCGTGAAAGATCGTCACTGTAAAATTCACTTAGTGATACGAAATGCGCCTAGAGGATCAACATCAATAATTTGTTTGTATTAAATAAGTCATACGTAGTCTATAAAATTTTGTTGTTCCGGGCATATATGATTATATTCGTAGAGAAAGATGAAGCTCTAGTCATATACAGTTCTGGTTCTACTATACCTTCATATTAATTGAGTGTAAAACTCCAAGTAGTTCCACTATAAGTATGTTATGAGAATTAGTCCTATCAAATAATAAGCACTTACATAAATCTTAATACATGCCATACGTCTACCACTAATATTGGACACTTACCTTTGCTTAGTATGTACAACAGCGCTTAAATGATCGAGAAGCAATTTCAGGATGCGCTTAAATCCAAGTTGATCATACTTTATCAATTTTGTAATGAATACCTAAATAGTACGTATCAAACCTTAATCGACGGCAAATATTACCGTAACAACTATTGCAGTATATTATGCAGACACTAATTACGACTCGTATAGGCCCTTACGTCCTTTACAGTGCTATCTGAATTTGCTAAAATTTTGCAGAGCTTATCTAACAAATCTTGTCCTTGTGGACCCATTAGTAATGGGCATTCTAGAAGAATTATAAACTAAGATAAAATTAAGATTAGATACTTTGCTCTATAACCTTCAGAGTGCCCTTGGGTTATACATTCAATAAGAAAAAGCCACTAGTAAGCTTTATCAGAATTCGTACGTTTACGCATATTATTACCGCATCGGCTCAACATATTCCCATACCTGATTAATTTCTTCAGAATTGACAACAGAATTCTCTAATCGAGTTAACAATATTTCAATGGAATCGATGATTACGGGTTTGAATGATTCCTAAATTGGAAAGGAATTAATGCAACAAAGATTTCCATTAATTTTAAATCCGCACATTAGTGAGCGCACATTAATATACAGTACTGCAGTATCAAAACAAACCAAGGGTTTCAAATCCATAATAATTTCAAAAGTTCTTCTCATTAATCTCAAGTCGAGATCTGTTACATCCAAATATGATCATAAATAAGCTAAAATAATAGCGAATATTTATTACTAGTAAAGAGTACAGATCTTATTACCAATATTTAACATTCTGCTGCTATCAGAACTCTTCGTATCTTGTACCTACAGAAGTTTAATGAAACAAAAATTTATACAATATTATAACTTGAAACATTATGGAATTCAGAACGTCTTACAAAATAAATAGTAGCAAGATTAAGATGCTTACTAAGAAGCTATCATTCAGAGCATCAGAGGAAGAAAAAACTGTTCTGAAGGTATTAACAAGAAACGCAGGATCACCACATTCAGTATAATTATCAATAGCTTCCTAAACAATTACACGAATTATTAGATCAGTACTCTAATGATCAATTTTACAATAATACATATACAGTATATCAGTTGATCATACCTTTACCATACCGTACGTTAAATGTGTAAGAGAAAGCTCCTATAAATGTGCATGAACAATACCGATCAATTTGTAAATCTCGACTATTCAATTTTTATAACTAATTAAATAAAATATTGCATAAGCAAATTACGTACATAAAGTGAAATACTAGATTGATCGCATTGTTCATTATCAGTTCCTCTTTTATCATCGCTCCAGCTATTACATTTATATACGCCCGTATATAATTAGAATTAGACATAAAAATGATAAATTATTCCATAGCTGCCTCCCAATTCAACACTTAATTACTAAAGTCATACGAGTGTACAGTATAAGTTTACCGCTCTTCAATCCGTTGAGGGTTTTCTGCGTGAGAAATGTTTCTACTATCATATGGACTTCGGAACAAGCACTTAAACGGAGATGTTGAAAATAGAGCGTGTAAGAAGGGCCTAGACGAGTTTGCAGCTGCTTTAAATACCTTAAAGTCCAATTATATCAAAAATAACCTTAAAGACAGAAATCAAGTCTAGTATAAAGCTTAATAAGATATTTCTAATTACTGCATCGGGAATTAAGTCCTCTTCATATTTCCTACCGCTACACAAAAACAGCCTAAAGCAATAGTACAAAGGAACAGTTATGCTAATGTTTTGACAGCACAACAGTACTTCGTATCAAGATATCTGTCGTTTGAATAAAATCTTTTAAATCTGAACGCATCTTACCTCTGTCGTGAAGCTAATTCGATACTTACAATAGCTGCCATATCACTACTGAGTAGTTTAAAATCTAGTAATTTCAATCAATTTCTAAATTAATACGTAAAAACTAATACAATTACTAAGACTACGACCTCCAGCTACCAACTAAGGCAACATTTATCTCGATAATTTCTGGAAAGTACAACCCATTATTTATTGGTAAAAGCGTTTTATATGGATGCCACTTAAACTTCATGATTTCGATATACGAGTAACGAACAATTCTAATTCAATTTAGCAGCGAATGAGTTGATGTTACCTTCATTGGAGCGACAAAACTTATTCCTACAGTTCGATTTTTCACAACCAATAGTCAGCTGCCCATAATAACTACCCAGTAAAAGAGTTAGATATTATCAAAGATAGTCTTAATACTTTACATAGAAATTTCTGTAATATTGAGAAATAATAGCTGCTATCATATTATCCCATTTTATTTTAACTTTTTAAGTTTATAAACAAGCTCTACAACGTTGTATTGTTAACGTAAACTAAATATCGTAATTAAAAATTGGTTTTGCATGTAAGAAGGAAAAGACTACAAAGTATGGTAACAACTTTCGTCGTAAGTTTTCTATCACTCACCAGCTGACCAAGGAAACAAACGATTGCTGAAATATAATCTCTCAGTTAAAAATTTAATCATTTTCATTAAATACTAGAAATTTAACTCACACTCCTACCTTTGCTTGTGAAGTATTAGTATTTGGTTTGTTATAACTCCTTGGTAAGAGAGCAGCCTAAAATTATAATGTATGTCATCAATAGTATCAAACTAACAGTAACGGCATGAAATATCGCTGAATAAAGAATCCAAACAATTACTTAAGTTACAACGTATTCTGAAATACCGCCGAATAAAGAATCCAAATAATTACGCAAGTCATAACGTATTACGAATTCATATGTAATTAAAATAAATGCAACAGTCCAAATGTCTGCTATAAATCTTGAGACACGTGCATTTTTAGTTATATAACACATGTATAGCTGACCTGAACTGATAAGTTAGAATCCGATAAGGCAGCCAAGTTACTAGCACTTAATGGCCTTTGTTAAATCAAAAAAGCCATCAAAGTATTAAAACGTACTGCGTGCGAGTATAGAAGTTGTATATATATATATATATATATATATTACGGCAAAAACTCGATATACAGTGCAACGCAAATGCAATGAAAAAATACAGTAACGTACGAACATGTGATTAACCTAGCATCGGTGCAGTTTGATACAGCTAATGTATGAGAGATATTATTAAGCAATGAAGTTACACAAAAATTCTTATACATAGCGGCTGTATTTGAATAGCATTGTTCATAAATAGATACTAACACTTGCTCGCATCAATATGATAAACAATGATTAATTAACAAATATCAACTATGTTTCTCATAGCCTAATTCAGCCTCGTATAATTTACAGTTTATCAAGACTATAAGTATCCGAATCCGATCAAAACTATTGAAAATCTATTTTACAGTAAGTGACCTTGCATGCTTTGCAATATCTCATCAATCAATTTAAACGAAATCTAAGGCAATTATGAACATCACTGAAGCTATACTACATTTCTAGAGTTTAAAATCCGTCATATTTAATATAATACTCTTACGATAATTAATTCCAGCAAGGAGTTAATGTATTAATTAATATCGTAACACATCTAAATCATTTAGCCATTGAAATGTACTTATACTGTATGGTATAATAAACTAACAGCTAGAAGTAATGTACTATCTGAAATTATCTAATACTGCTTTTATACTCGCACTTTTCTCCATCAATCATCTGTATGTAGACTTGCACGTCATAACCACTTACTACGAAATTGCTGATCATTGCAGCATAATAAGATATCGTCGGTATAACTATGCATATATGGTATATCATGAGCTTATCCATAATAATTCAATAGCATACAAACTATCACTTAGAGCACGTACAATTAGCTCGTATGCCTTTATATTATCGATTTTCCGAACTATCAACTGTAGTTATACCTCTACACTACATGCAGCCTAGTCTGACGCTGTCTTAAAATACTGTTAACGTATGATCACTGCAATATCATGAGATGTAGTCAATATAAATACACAAATACACAAGCAAAATTCATACGGAATTTTTCCAGTATAATATAAACTTACCTCGACAAATTATTAAGATGAGCTACGCTAACTGAGCGACCAGCGCCAGTAATCAATATACTACAAATTGAAAATACAGATTCATAGTTGAGTTAGAACAATAGCTGATAGAAATTACGGTAATTACTGGATGAGAATCCGATCAGAAAATGATTCAAATTTCTTGAACAACCTGCCACGTAATTGTGCATCATCCACACTTTGCCTTCTCAGTTCACTTGATCTATTTTTTTATTAAATTACAATATTATATTTAGTAACAAGCTACGAAGCTTGACAGGCTGCTACATAGCTATATTGTATGCATTACTCATCACGCAATCAATCTACAGCTAATACTATACAACGGACATGTACCTATATTACTAAGAGTATTGCAAGTGTCAAGCTTATAGAATCAATTTCATTTCATAGGTATAATTTACGTTGCTACTACTGTCCTAGTAATCAGCCATGACATCAATCAATCCATTAATTCTAAAATCAATTTTGAATGTAAGCATATCATGGAAATTGATCTATGCACTTTAGCTGCTTCTCTAAAGACAATCTGCAGCCGATACTGTACTGAGCGTACAATGTACACGTATATTACTACTGCAAGTATCAAGTTTACAGGATCAATTTTATTTCAAAGCTATAATCTACGTTGCCATTACTATCCTAACAATCAGTCATGACATCCATCAATCTATGAACTCTAAAATCAATTTTGAATGTAAACATATCATGGAAATTGATCTATGTACTTTAGCTGCTTCTCTAAAGACAATCTCTAGCCGATACTGTACTACTTCTGCAAGTATCCAGTTTATCGCTATAGTTTACATTGCTACTACCGTCCTAGCAATCAGTCATGACATCCATCAATCTATGAACTCTAAAATCAATTTTGAATGTAAATATATCATGGAAATTGATCTAGCACTTTAGCTGCTTCTCTAAAGACAATCTCTAGCCGATACTGTACTACTCCTGCAAGTATCCAGTTTATCGCTATAATTTATGTTGCTACTACCGTCCTAGCAATCAGTCATGATATTCATCAATCCATGGACTCTAAAATCAATCTTGAATGTAAGCATACCATGGAAATTGATCTATGCACTTTAGCTGCATCTCGAAAGACATATCGCTATCAAACGAATGCAACTACATAACTCTGTAGGCTATCACTTGAAAGCTCTACACTGTATTACTGTATATCGTCAATGCTTTGAGAATTGGTTGAAGACATTTACCTTTTAGAGGGTATGGATTGCGGCTTAGCAAATAAATCTTCCTCTTTACTCTTCTTCAACATGGATGCTGTACTATCATATTATACTCTAAAAAGTTGAGAAATCTTGGCTACTTTTTAGGCATCAATGATATTTATAAATTGGTTTCAATATCGCAAGGCGAGAAAATGACCAGCGACCATCTTCCTAGACGGTCAATTGGGAGTCAAGGTACCCGGTTGTGTGCCGTGCTGTCAGCAATTTCTAAGAGCAAATTCTCCGCTGCCATGTACCGTATAGAGGATTCATTGCTACGGTACAATGATAGCCAAACAGTACTGTACACTGTACAGTAAAGTACACAGTACTAAATTCAACGGTGAATTTAGTAATGTACTGTAGTCTATGACAGTAGCATACTGTACGTTGTCATGGAGATCCCACCCAGAAGCTTAGCACAGTCTTCATTCGTATTATTATTATTATTATTGTACAACTAAAACTCTCTCGTGCATTTGGTAGTGTAGCTAGCGACTGCAGTAAGTTATACTGTAGTAACTTAGGATTATAATTATTATAAATAATGTCTCAATATAAGATATCATGCCATTGCAAAGCTGTATCAATAACGTTGTGCACAGTACAAGGAAGTTTTCAGGCCATTATAAATAAAGTCTCAATAGAAGGAGGTATCGTGCCATTGCAAAGCTGTATCAATGACGTTGTGTATGTACAAGGAAGGTTTCACGCCTTAAATTTGCAGTATTACTTACTATATTCAATACAATCATGTTACTTAGGGCTAGCGGATAAAATCTATAAAATTTGGAACTAAAATTATCATGATAGTAATTGCAAACAAAAACAAATAAGGTATATAAATAACAAATTTATACTACTGTACTGTATTATTCATTAACATGTTCCTAATGCTAACACAAAATACTGAAACGTATAAGATTGAAATAAATAATAATCATCGCGGTAATAAATCTAAACAAAATAAAGAATATAAAATTATCCGTACATTAAAAATGTAACGTCTTGAAAGAGCTCTTACTGCATGTTTGGTACGCAGCGCAGTAACACGTTCGCGAGATTAGTTCTGTTACATCACGCACCCTATATATTTTACAGCATACGATCAAAGTTTGTATCATTGAAGCTATCAGATCCTCTGACACTATTATAATTGAATACAATATATACTTAGTTGCGCACTATTTTACGTGTAAGAACTCTATCGCTCGCTTACAAGTCAGCAGGTTGTAGGCTAGTATATATATATAGGAATATACAAGTAATATACGATGGCGACCTCAGACCAGGCCTCTGGGCCTAAGGTGGATACTATTGAGACTTCTCACGGAGCTAGTACTTCGTATATTTTACTGCAGTACAGTATGCACTGATCGTATAGCAAAAGTTTTGCAACTTCCTTCTTCTTCGCTCTAAAATCCGAAAAATTCCCTCCTGTCCAATTCGAAATCCGATGGCACCGTATAACAATTTTGTAATTAATCGTCAACTTCCAGATACCTAAGGTATGGATATACACGTATCTAGTAGTCCATACCTCAGGTATCTAGAAGCTCAGAGTTGTACAGTATAGCATACGCGTAAAATATATATGACACGGGCCATGTATGTTCGGCGGGATGTGGAGTGGTGGCTCAATACAATATTAGAGTTTTTTACATTGCCCGCGACTATATATAGAAGGAACATGGACTAGTGCTGGTGTTGGTTAGTCTTTTAATTAGATATGATGCACGGTAAGCTACACGGCCTTGTCAAAATAGCATTTTGATAAATTGCTATAGTTCGAGAATTTAATATAAATTGTTGTTGTTTCTGTCTTTACTTAACTCAAATAGGAGCAAACATTGAATAATTAATAGTGCCTATGTAGGTACAAACATCATTGAAATATACTATAAAATCTACAATCAATTTACTAACCCGTTCCCATAATTATAATTAACTAATTACATATACGCCGCGTAGATTACGGAGGTACGTATGATCGCCATAGTTATCTGCAACATAAAGTTAGAAGCTGTCACAGGATTGAATAAGAGTTCTTGATTATAAAACTGATTAACTGTAACTTAGGAATTACTATAGCATAGCAGATACCTTTAACGCACTGAGCATAAGACACTATATTGCAAAATATTTTTAATCAAGTGATTGATCGAGCTACAAGTAAGCTAATTAAAAAGTTGCTAGTAACATTGCTTCCATTCTACAGTATAATATACCAAAAGTAGCCGTAATGATTACAGCTAATTACTGCAGATGAGTATTTTGAAAGTATGGTGTCAGAATGAAGTAAAATGCAGTGACATAGAATAGCCAATTAAAGTAGATTGTATTTGCCATGATAAAATGCTACGCATCAACCAAGCGCTTAAAGTTATGAGCTAAAATTTTGAGTTGCTCAATTACGAACCTCAAGGAATATCCATCCACTAAAGTGCCATTTAGCAAATCCTAGTCTTATATTTATCACCGAGCTTTTTACTGACACAATTTTGCACTTGTTGCATCAGCGCGCAACGTTGAACTAAAATGGTAAAGTAGAAGTAAATATCACATTAAAGTTAATATATTAGCACCTATTCATCATTGTTTACAACTAGTGAAAGTCGAGATTACAGTGCAATATTTTTACTTTAATGAGTGAATAAATTCGTCAGTTTTGTAACCCTCATGGTGTTAAGCTTAACCTAAAGTATAAACAAATTTGTTATATTGATTGTTACGGATAGTTTGTTATTCAGGCTCAGTCAGTCTCAAGTACTGTAATGTTTATGAGCAGAGTATACCAATGATTCCGTATATGTTTTAGGAATGGCTGTGAATTTTGCGCTGTATCATTTTTAAGTTATTAAAAAAATCATAATTGTCACAATGCACTGATCTTGATAAGTAGTTCAAGATTGAAGAATATCATAATATCTCTATACGTATTTTTGTTATAAGATTTTATACCGTACTTATTGGTAGCAGCAATGAACTACTGTTATAAAGCTCAGTTCCAGATTCCCGCTTTGAATGTTTCCATCAGACCTTAGTAGCTGGATTTTGGCTCTAGTATTATCGTAATTAATGGCTTACGTACAAGCATTTAGCTACTGTACTTCGCCTCCCTGAAACTTATTAGGTACAATTTCGTTTAGTACGTTCACTGACTTATTAACAAAATTAATTAGAATTAGCAATAATGTCATGCAGTGTAGTAAGAAAGATAGTCAACTGATGTAGACATTCTTTTTGATTTATATGCAATTAGATATTAAAGACTAGTTTGTCCTACACACTTGGTGCCACTGAGCCGATAAACATCCTAATCCATTGCTATTGCTGCTATATTAAGGTATAGCGGGTCTTGACAACGTTACATTACACCTATACTAGGGTTTGAAAATCAGTTTCAGTAATTCGAACTTGAGATATTATCCATTCACTAAATTTAACGGTAAAGCTCAATATTAAAACCAAAAAATTAACACAGCGCGAGAAGTGCCGCTTTAGAAATTGCTTTAAGACCTCACGAGTCACTTAATTACAATTATTGTATACTAATTCGACAAATCTGTAGTAGTAACGTTGAGGTAAATTTACGAGCACAAAACTCATTCTTAAGATCAGACTGTGCGCAAGCAAATTACTCCTATAAATACACGTACTGTATAGTAGTGTTTGTATCTTTTCGTCCAAAAAAATGATCAATTATTAATATTTATAACTGTCCCAAATAGCACTACTAGAATCCATGGTAAACTGGTTTTGCTCAATGTCTTGTGTGCCGTAGAAATTTCAGTGATACGGAAGATCGATGTTCAAAATTTTCAGATACCTTCATTTTATCTTTTAATTTCCACAAAATTCTCACTTAATATCTAAATTTCAACTTTGAAGTAGTTTATTAACATACTGCATCAAGCTAGGATTTTAACCAAGATATAACAATGTCATAGTACATTACAGTTTAAAATTTACGGAGAATACAGAGGACAGTGTCTCACTTAATAAGTTCCTTATATTATTAAGTTTGCTATCTTTATCTGCTTATTTGTTAAAAGGACCTATCAATATATTTATAAAGATACCTTTCTAAAATAATGAATATTAAATCGGTTAATCAGTCACTATCTACCGTTCTACATTGTAAATAAACGACTATAGAAGTAAAAATGAACAACCGGATGTCCCTATAAATCATACAACGATTTGGTGTATGAGAAAACGAATATTTACGACATCATTTAATCTATTTGAAAGGTATTTTATACAGAAATTACACTGTAATCGATCTTTCTCAGACGATATCAACTATCAAATAAGCGCTTGTCCTTGTGACAAACGCTAAAAATTTGGAACGGCCAAAGTTTAAATGTACTCATACCACACGTTACGGTACCTATCCAATAGTAATCACGATTGATTATTTATGAAGGTTACGTACACGCTACACTCTAATCGTATATTTAAGTTTTTAAAAGTTATAAAGCTACTTTATAAAAATACCTGCTACTAAGGAGAAAAAAAATAACAAAGGATTTATAAAAATATACTGTGCTCCCGCATTAAAAACATGATCATACGTAGATTGAAATTATAGATCACCAACTGACAAATAAAGTCGATATTTCAAAACTTCTAATTAAAATAACCCGTCTAAAAAGCAGCTGTGGCTATCCAATATACCCGCTATGAAATAATTCAATTCAGTCTTTGAAAATTGACTTAAGAGAATAATAAAAAACCTTGCATACATAATGATCAATGCCACCCGTGGCATTGATCATTGTTAGATAGTTGAAAGTCAATGATAATTTCCTTAATTCTATAGCTGTTTAATCGAACAGCTTTTCCTATAATTAGACAATACCGTTAATGATTCTGTCATTTACTAAATTAACTCTACGAAATGGTGTAGTATACCTACGAGTTAAGATGGAATAGTCACTGGTATACCGTAGTAACGAGATAGAATATTTGAGTTCTTCTTTACAGTAGAATTACTTAGCTTTAAAATTAATTACCCGATCAATCAATCAAGCAATCAAAATAA